TTGGTTTAGCCCATGATAAGCCAGGCTTCTGCCAGGTTTGCACTATTACATTGTTGTGAATGATGATTGCTTACTCGTTTTCTAGTAGCCTGAAGATGCTGTTTGGAGGGAGTGAGAGATGTTAGGCAGAAGCAAGTACTGCTTCCTGTCCCAAGAATTTTCTGATCAGCCTTCCAGCTGATAGGCCTAGAAACCAAAGTCCACATAATATGGGAGGCAGCAGTGCATAGTTCTCCATAGCTCACAGCAAATATGCTTTGACCAGAATTTGAAGTCTTGGTTTCTATGCAAATTAGTCATTCCATCTCACTCCATTTAGTCTTAGACCTCTGCTGAGTGTACCTACTGGGTACCAATTGGACAGTTTTGACAAGTGGCCCCTAGTTCCAAAGGAACTGAATGGAGACAACCAAACTGTCCTACAAGAGACTACTGAACAGCCGCCATGTTGAGCAACTTTTTGTTCCTTCTGATTTGTGTTGGATTTGGCTTAGCAATATAGCAGCTCTTAGCTATTTTGTCCTAATTAAGGTAACCACAAAGCTAGATTCAATCAAGGTAATCCTAGGGAAAGGGTAGCGTGCTGTGGCAGTTCAGACACTTCTGCATATCTTCCTCCTTCTTGAACTTTACTGTCAAGAATGGTATTTGTTGCTTTTTCTGGTGGACAGCGTAGATACGGAGGGCTCAATTTTTGGCAGACTGACTTATGAGAAGGTTGTACAGCACCTTCCATGGAAAAATATGAGACTGTAAATGCTGAAAAAACAGATGCAACAGAGGAGAGAGAAGCTTTGCTTTTGTTGTTTCAAAAGCAAGAGTTAAATTGAAAGGTTACAAAATCAGCTGGATTATATTTCCAGGAAGGGGAAGAGGAATTGACTGTGGGGAGAGAATCAACATTAACATTATCAAAGACAGTTTAGCTAGGAGTCCCACTACTCAGAGTGGAATGAACTGGAGGCCAGATACAAATTCAACAGGAGTTTTTCCATAGGTAAAATCTGATACAGTCATCCTTGTCCATGCAGTTCTATTATTCTACAGGCTCATAACGCAAAGCCTATTAAAGTCAATGCAGTGACTTCTGCACTTATGTAGTAGGGCTCAGCTCCTTCTGGAGAGAAGCAACTGAGTTCTGATGGGTGAAGATTTCTATGGGAAAACTTTTTTATGTTACACTGTACTCAGCTCTAACAATGACAGGTGCTTTTTTGTATTTTAATATCACTTCCAGCCCTAAGTCGTTTAATATTTTTTTTTTTTTTTTAATAGCTATTCCCATCAAACGCGACCCAAAGCATCTTTACCAGTCTTCACTTCTTTCTGCAGGCATAGTGTCCACCCTCACCATTCCCACATATGCTCCTGTCCCATGCAGTCTGTCCTTTCAGTAGGCTCATTATCCTGGTAATTAAACATCTCAGTGTCCTGATTTAGTCATTCTCATTTACTTCAGTTACCTCCTATTGTTCATTAAATCCTGATGTTTGCAGTTGTGCGTTCCTGTTTTTAATGCTCCTTGTGTTTGTACAGCAACAGTGAAGTTAATTAGTGTCTCCATAGGATCACTTTCCTCACCCTAGCTTGAAAATGTACTCATGGTTGGTATTAAAACAGAAAGAACCACTCTACATCTTTTATAATTGTTAATATTTTCAATTATAAGAGAAAAGGTCAGCCTATGCAGTAGCCTGAGATAACCAACTTCTCTACTTACCATGAGAGCAGGAAAAAATAAAGACATTTTTCATAGTTTCATAGTAGCTAGGGTCAGGAGGGACCTGAACAGATCATCTAGCCTGACCTCCTGCCACAGACAGGAATGAATGCTGGGGTCACAAGACCCCAGACAGGTGATCATCCAACCTCCTCTTGAATTTGCCCAAGGTAGGGGCGAGGACCACTTCTCTGGGAAGTTAGTTCCAGATTTTGGCCACCCTAACCGTAAAATATTGCCTTCTGATCTCTAACCTAAACCTATTCTCCATCAGCTTATGACCATTGTTCCTCGTCACCCCAGGTGGTGCTGGGGAGAAAAGGGCTCTGCCTATTTGCTGATGATCTCCCCTGATGAGGTTGTAGGCAGCCACTAGGTCCCCCCCTTCAAAACCCACCCATTTTTAGTTGCTTCCTCTTTTAATAATTTTTCTTTCATTGAGTCACACCCTCAGTCATATTTCCATTAGATCAGGGGTGTCAAACATATGGCACACAGGTTGAACCCAGCCCACAGAGCCACTTTATCCATTCTGCTAGGCTTCTGGCAGGCACCTGGAAGTTGAAGGGTGTGGCCCAAGGAATGGCTTGCTGCCGTTAGACAGCAGGAGGGCAAGCAAAAGCTGATATAGCCTTGGTTGCCCCATGGTCTCCTGAATCATCACCGGTGTCACCCTGTGTACTTCCAGCCTACAAGGAGCCTTGAGGTCTGAATCCAGCCTTGGGCACAATATGAGTTTGAAACTCTTGAATTAGAAGATAGCTTATTAGAATGCAAGTACACTGATGAAATATGAATTCAAGTTACATCATTTATTTCCTACCTGACTTGCTTTGGTCAAGCAGTTTCCAGCAGAAACCTTTTTTCACCTACAGGTGAACCAAACAAAGTGACACCGTCTTCTTATAGCACAGACAAAGCTTTACTGTTGACTCAGACTAGCAACCCAGCTGACATTCATACTTCCCTTCCTTTCATTAATGGTAAATTTCAGATTTGATCTGTGTGATGTGACTGATGAGCTCCCTCTGTCAGGGGTGGGCAAAATACGGCCCGCGGGCCGCATCTGGCCCACCAAGCACTTCCCTCTGGCCTGCGGAGCACCTTCAAAACCCACGTAATGGCGGGTGGCGCTCTCAAAAACTTGCCGCCTGCCTCTCTAAAAGCCTCCGGCAGCACCAGCTGCAGCACCTCAGGCTGTTTCCTTGGGTTCTGGTTGTGAGGCAACCAACCCTGACCTCAGCCTGCCCCAGCTGGCCTTGCCCCGCCTTGGCTCAGGCCACATTTGCAGCTTGAGAGAGGGGCAGGGGGGCTAGGCCAGAACCTGTGGCTCCGGTGAGGAGAAACAGTGTCTGGGCTGGGTTTTGCTTTGCTGCACGGGACTGGAAAGGGCCCTGCCCTGCAGGTAAGCCCAGGAAAGAGGCTGCTGGGCAGGCTTTCCCTGTGCCATGCCGTGCCGTGCCGTTCTGTGTCGCTCGGGCTGTGCGGGGTTGGGCTGCGCCAGCACTGGGGAGGGGAAGCAGCAGCTGGGCCGCAGCTCCAGCCCAGTCAGCACCAGGGAGGAGAGGTGACAGCAGAGCTGTGTGCTGCTTGGGACAGGATGAGCCCAACTGGAGCAGCAGGGGGCTCAGCTGCATTTTCCCTCTACCTGTGCTGGTCAGTCCCAAGCAGCACATGGCTCTGCCGCTGCTTCTGCTGGCTGTTGTCAACCCGCCCCGGCTCCTCCTGTCCCCAGCCGCACATGGGAAGCTGGGCTCCACC